ATATATATATGTACACATCAGCCAAAGAATTGTGTCGTTATAAATTGACACTAAGTATTAACAGTTTTGCAAACCTGTTTATGCAAACCACTAGCTACAAGAACGAGAATATTAGATATCAGTTCAGAATTACTTTTCACCAAATCCTTCCAACCTTGTTTGCTCGATACCACTGGGAAGTGGTTAACGATAAAACTAGCAGCTAAATCTTTCATTTTTGAATCACCATGACATTCGGCTAGTTGTAAGACATCGCAAACTATGTTAGCAACATCATCCACAAACTCATCAGACGAAAGCTTGGATTGTAACATTTCAGAACAAGATTCTCTCAGAACAGGCATATCATATTTATCGCCTAACGAATAAAGGGACATCACAGTATCTATTGTACCACCTTCTATTTCTCCAGTGTAAAGATACTTTAAAAACTTAACAAATGAAGGAGTAGGACAGTCAGTGATGGTGATAGAATTGGATGAAGATTCTAAGAAATCATGTTCCATCATTGCCTTGAAAACGGGAGAGCGAGCACAAAGTATCAACTTATGAACACGAAGTGTATCTTCGCCAATACGAATCTCTAGATCACACAAGTCTCCAGAAGTATAGAGTGATCCCATATCTTGACTCAATTTGTTTAGGTATTGCCCGTTTCTCGGTATTATCTCTAACGCTCTGCCATTTTCTTTTGTATCTTGAGCAAAAGTATTTATACTGGAAAATGAAGGCGTAATAGTTGAATCTTCATAAAGATTTATCCTAAGTTGAAAATAATATTCATTGCTTTTAAAAAGTATTGGATGTGATGAATGAATTTCAAATATTTTCATAGACGTTCCAAGTTCAAGACACAGATCAGGACAACTTACTTTATATTTAGGAACACCCACCACCATAAGGCAAGGATTAAAGATCATTTTGGGTCCACTTCTCCCTTCATAACCATACAAAAAGAGAAAGAATTTTACAACATGCTTGAATTTATCGGGTACGATTGCCAATTGAAAATCAGAAATATTTCTGAATGGTAAAGTGTCACAATTTGGACTCCAATACGAGTTGGTAAAATCTACTTTAACGAGCCACCATTTATATAAAAATTCGTTTTCGCCAAGTTTTTCACAATGAATTTCACCAATACACGCCATACCTCTTAGTTTCTTCCAAATAAGTTTTTTTTATTATTTTAAACTAACAGTTCCAAACTGTGAAATATACTTCAACTGATAAAGAAGGAAATGTGTAAAAGGACCTTTATAAATAAAAGATTAGATTAAAAAAATAGGCTGAAATGCAACAGAATATCACGTGGAATCTTATGATAATTTTTGCAGATATCACTTACTCATACTAGAAATAAGAGACAAAAATGTATTCACTACTGTCATTATACTTTTTATTTTCTGACCGTGGTTGAGCAGCCGACCCAACTCTATAATGCACTATTCTAATAATTTACGATTTTCTATAAAAATCAATGCAGTACATTTTTTTTCTGCTGCAAGCCTTTACCAGTTTTAAAGGCATGAAAAAATTCCGTTTTCAATTGAAATTTTATAAATCGAATGTTAAAATGCGATGTCCCCGAGCCCCAGGAATCAAAATTAAATAATTACAAGGACAGCTATTCAAAGGAGTTAGCGTTTCCGTCCGACTCGAAGTTATTTTAAAAGTTATTTTTTTGTCAATGTACAGTCGGCAAAAAAAATATATATATATAACTCTGAATAGCTTTTGCTCTAATGATCGAATTTTCGCAAACTAAGTGTCAATCTTCATAGTTCCCGGGAATGAACTCAAATATGCTAAGTGATAAGTGCTAGCTATTGATTAAGTTACGAAATCAGACGCAAAAACGTACTCTCTCCGAATTATATATATATATTTTTTCAAATTTGGCATCCTGACCTTTAGAACGACAATAGTAGACGAAATTTTGAAAACATTGGGTCGTAAATGGGGTCGCAAGAAAGGTTTATATATCTGGCGATAGTTCAGAAAACAGCCAACAAAAGTCGACGCCGCAAATGAATATTTTAAGATAACCCATAGACTAATTCAAAAGAGGAATACTTAATTTTACTCGGTTGCTAAGCAACCAAGCTCTGACTCTAAAAGAAATTGAAACAATGTTCTGTGATTGCTCGGAGATGTTTAATTAATAGTTAATGGAAATTATCTCGAAGTTTCAAGGCAGTAGACAATTTTTTAGCTGATTTCTGTCCAAAAAGCAAAAAAAAAATATTTTCTTTTAATTTCCTTTGAAAAGAAAATTTGAATCGATTTATAAACTAGTATTTATGATTTTCCAAGCTTTTAGAATTTAAATGCACGAACTTTTTATCTGACATTATTTAAATTTTTATGATGCTTCTACTATATTTATTTATACGAGGATTTCATACTGAAATCAAATTTGCGTAACTTATTATAACTATTATATACAAAATTTTAGGAATAATCATTTTTACAGGTTTAATCAAGTCTTCTAGACAAGAAAGTTTGAAGAAACAAAAAAAAAGTGCTTAAAAATTAAATTTAGATTGTATTGTAATTCTAATGCACATTCACAAGGTTTTCTATAATTTACGATATTTCTTTTTTCTATAACTCAAATTGCTGAATGTTAAGTGGCATTTTAAAAACATTGAAATATGTTTTGTTTAAGAATAAGATATTGAAATAATATGTTGCATACTGTATGATTAATTGTTTAAAAAATCGCTTCATTCTGCTAGATATTTAGGTTACATGGTTTTCTTTGGATAAAGATGATTTGCAAATAGCATCCTCATGTTTCGATACATGCTGAAACTTACATTCGCAAACTCACCATAAAATGTCGCACAGCATGTTCATCAATTACGATAAGCAACATTTACCACCAAATATAGCTACAATGATTTTTTTTTTCTTTCATATATCTGATGCGATACTCTCTTTTTAAACAGAGATCGTAAGGTCCTTAAGATACTGAAATGGGGGCACAAAACCTTAAAAGAGAACATATTCAATTTCATTAACTGAAAACTGGTCTCAAAGTGGAATCGTATGCTATATCGTCGTCGTTACATAACATCAAAGTATAAGTCTTTCAAAGTATAAGTCGAATGTTAAAATGCAATGTCCTCGAGCCCCAGGAATCGAAATTAAATAATTACAAGGACAGCTATTTCAAACGAGATAGCGTTTCCGTTCTACTGGAAGTCGTTTCAAAAGTAATTTTTTATCTATTGATTCCAAAGTTTACTCCACATGTATTTTAGGATATACTTTAGGAGTATTTCCATCAAGATTACTTTTCTACCCTTATTTGCTTAAAATTATTAAATAATTTGCTTAAAATAAATTATTCAAGTAATATGATTTAGGACTTTCATGTAGTATAATAGTGAAGGGGGCTTTCATCGCATATCCTTAACCTTGATACCGCTATCATTAAATAAATTAAATAAGCTTCGATAAATAATAAAAGTTAATTTTTTTACAGTTTTAGTTTTCAAGGAATACAGATTTCATTCTAGAAATAACGAAATTATTGAGAAGGAACAATATCATTCTTATCCTCTTATGACAAAATGTAGGAAAAACTGATTTTCACAGTTTCCGTAAAAAGTATGTTAACCTTCTCGCCGCGTATATATTTTTTTCTTTATCAAAATTAGTTCGAAATTGCTTCTTTTTTATCGCATTCTTTTAAAATCAGATGATTCTAAAATTGGCACGACTTTGTAATCTTTTTACAAATTTCAATTTTTGGTATTTGCTGCTTAGCAAAGCAAGGCATTTTCTTAATAACAAATTATACTATAATATTATCTTAGGAATCATGCTAAAGTTAAAAATTAAAAAAATAGCTTAGTACATTATTCGGAAAAAAATCTACATGGTGTCATAAAGAAAGAGTAAAAGATATAATGAAATAATTAGTGAATCACATGTGGTCAGATAATTAAAAATTTAATTTCACAACTAAGATGTTAGGACGACATTTAAGATACTGAGATATTTTAAGACGATGAAAAATTTTGAATACGTATTCGACAGCTTTTTATGTTCGGTATCTTTATACTCTTTGTAATGATTTATAAAACATCAACACTGTTTTAGATAATCTATGTTAAAGTCACAAGGAGAAAAAAAGGCAATCAATAATTTATATTCTTTTTTTCAAAAAAAAATAGTATGCTAAGTAAATAATTAGCTGTTTTGAATCAAATAATTTTAAACAGCGGAATGTTTTTAATTTCTTAACAAGGTTTTATTCTTAGCTTGTAGACAATAATTCCAAGTTTTCTTTTTAAAAAAAAACTTGACAATAGTTTAAAAAGGAACTTCACTTCAAAAAAAATCTAAATTAAAGTACTAAAAAAATTGATTAGTATATTAATCAGGAAATAATATACGTAGTAGCGTAAAGAATAAGATTTTTAAAAGCGTTAAAATTTCATTAAATCGTTGATAAAATAGTTCTGCGAAATTCTCCTGGACAGGTGATTGAAAAATTTACTTTAAGATTAAGACTATATATAAGATGTTGAGAAATTTTAAGATGTTTTAAAAATTTTGACTACGCATTCGTATTAATAATTATAAAATATATATGTTGAAGAAATTGATAAATATATTATTCCAAATCTATGCATACGTCCATATATTATTGAAATTGTATCAATTATTGAGAAAACAAACTAAAAAATAAAATATAATCACATTAAATAAGCACATTCTGGTGTATAATCATATTCTATCAGGAGCATGCTTTTATAAAACTCGACATTCGTTGAATAATATGTTTTTTATTCAGTAAAATGTTTTATTTAAATTTCTTTACTAAATTGCAAACAAATTATTAGATAATTAAAAAACATCGTATTTTATAGTTTAAAAAAAGTAAAGATAAGAAGATTAGCAATCGGTTATTAGCGAAAAAAAAATATGAATGAAATTTTACGCTACGCGCGCGAATTCAAGTTCCTCGTAAGTTAATCACATTTTAATATTAATCGCCCCGAAGGACAATTCGAGAAGGACTTTTCGATGGAACTAACCTGCATTTTCGTTACATGAAGAGGAAATCCAGCTGGTCCTGTCGGCAAGACCTTT